TAGTAAACACGATGGTGATCAAGGATTCATACATTTTGAGTTGTTCAGCCAAGCGTTGTTGGCCAAGGTGGCGTGGATAATCCATGAGGACCAGATTCTCTATTGGCGCAAATTTACTGTGGAAAATACTTTCCGCATGGAGAGATTCCGTTAGCTTTGTTGGGCTCTCGTCCATCTTGGGAATGGCAAAGCGTTCTTCATTAATGCCAGTTGCTAAAAAGGGGACTTGGTTGGCGTGTGAGGAATGGGTAGTCAATTGAGATATGCTTAGAGAAATAAATCCTAAAATTGTTCCTATCCACACTGAAGTTGCTGGATGATGCCCCGGTTGGAGGTTTGGAGATGGTGGACCAAGGTTGTCAACCCGCGGGTTGACCCGGACCCGGTCGAGCTAGTGGGTCAAGGGTTAATGGGTCAACCGTTTTAGCCCGGTTTGGCCCGGAAATATGGAAAAAATCATTATATTGTACTTATCCTCATAAATTATATCAAATCTTATCTAACATATGAGTTATAACATATAATATTACACCAAAATAACATATCGTACTTAGATCCAACATATAATGAATATTCACAAACACTTATATAACATAAATATTCAAATGTTCAACTTAGGATTCCAAAGATTGAGTTGGGCGGAAAAGAAAATGGAAAATAGGCGCATTTCGCAAATCAAAGGAAAAAATGACACAATTTGACCTGCAACCCGGTACCTTATAGCGGTCGACCCGGCGGGTGCGTGTGGCCCGTTTTTCTCATTGGGTCAGGGTCAAACTGGGTCGACCCGCGGGTCAACCCGCGGGTTGACAACCTTGTGGTGGACTCTTTCATTCACCAAGATTATGGGGAATGGTGTGCGCAATGCCTGAGTGCTACATTCTCGCCTTTGATGGTGCGTGCTATTCAAGAGATCCCGTTACCAAGAGTACCAAACCATGACTGACCGGTCTGGTGGGAGGATCCCTCCGGGGAGTGTGCGATTATATTGGACTATAGGTTGGCTGATCGCCACAGTTGGGAGATAGGTCGTTGGAACAGGAATGTGGGTTGGTTGACTGGCGACTGTGAATACAAGTTTGGGATTTTCTGATTCAGCTGAAACTTAAGTTTTTTCTTGGAAGCTGTTTCAACATATTCTACACGATAGAGACTCAGCGAGAGAGAGAGAGAGAGAGAGAGAGGTGTTGATTTTGCCTTGGTATCTAGTTTGTTGGGCAAAGGAGGAATACATAGAGCATCTCTTTTTGAGGTGACGGTAGCTAGAGCATTGTGGGGTACTGTTGGGTTGGACAGTGAGATTCTAGGACTTCCCCATGACAATTTTGCTATTTTTCCGCCGTCTACTTGAGCAGGATTTGTTGCCTCACTAGGGGGTTCGAATCGTTTGTTTGGTGTGGTGGATTTGGAAGGCGAGGAACCTGGTGGTTTTTTATGGACAATAATTGTTTGATACTATAATGACTAGATATTTCGTATCCTGATGAAGGAATGGCTTAGGGTTCACAACCCCCGGGCGATTCCTTGAAGTGACATGGTTAATGTGGGGCTTGGACCGAGTAAATTTATTTGGTGATATTCTCCATTAGAAGATGGTTAATTCTAAATTTTCAGCCTTAAATTTAGGAATGACATATTTGTCTTTTAAGTATCGTTTGCTTGTTGGATTGGGGTGATGTATTTCGCATCCAAATCCCAAGCATTGTGTATTTTCCCGGCTAAAATAGTTTGTTGAGATATACAAATACGTGGGATCTGCGGATTTAGACCTTTTATTAGCTCTAAATCTGTGGACCCCACGTATTTGCAAATAACATATTCCATTTGGTATTTGGTAATTGAAGGCAAGGATTTGTGAGCCATGGTACAAAAACCTTTAAATTCATGATAAAAATCAACTAAACAAATAAATTTATCTTTCAAACACAAAATGCAACACATCCATCGTAAATCCAAATATTTTTAAAACTAAAAACCTTCATTTTCAAATCCAACAAGCAAAGAAGCACTAAATAAAAACCCCAACAGAACACAATGTTAATTATACTAATGAAAAAAAAAATCGTTGGAAAATTTTTAAAACTATTTATTATGTTATTAGTTAGGAATATGGTTTTTTATATTTTGTTCGAGGTTTTTGCGTGTGTATTTATAATTTACTTTAATTTTAAAATTAAGTGTTTGAGACAAATTCTTATATGTGTGATTTTGCTAATTAACTCATTCTTAATAAGTTAACTAAACAAATCAAATATTTATCAATTATATTTTGGTAAGAAATATAATTGTGAGGAAGTTTATGAATATAATTATCAATGAAATTGATTATGATGAGCAAGTTTACAAAAATAATTATCAATGATTTTTTAATTAATTATTATTTTATTACTCAATTCTTCTTTTAGTTCTCTGGGAGTGTTCAAATGTAGATCACAATGTACATCTAGATACTAGAAGTTTAAAGATTAAAACCATTAGTTAGATATTTTCTTACTGAGGTTCTTTCGGGAAACGATAAAATAGTATGAGATCATATATTAGTTTAGATCTAAGTTTGTGATGTATAATTATCTTTTATCATAGCGACAAACGATAACTCCGTTTTCTTTATTTTTCTCATTTTTTTTTGTTTTGATAAAATTTTAGTGCGATGATAATTCTAATAAAAACTTCCTTTGACACTAACATATTATTTTTGTTATGTTATAATTGCTTCGGTATTATTTTGAGTTTTAAGTTTATTTGATACTATTATTGAGTACTATATTTATTGATTCTACGCCCCAAAAATATATTCACCTTGGAGAATCATTTTATTGACAAAATAATGTTCCAATACGATCTTCAAACTGCCAAGTAAAAGGGACAAAATATTTGTGCATAACCTGCTTTAGTTACAAATGACACAAATCTCAAAAGCTATATTTAAAGGATTTTTAGTATCTCGCAAATTTAGGGGACAATATCTCATTCGTATCAACTCATATTTTAAATGGATTAGAAAAACCATATTAGTTGAAACTTGCCAAATAAAAGTTTTAAAAGATTATGATGAGTAATTTACAAGAATTATATAACAACATCAAAGAGAATAGTAGTTAGATAACAATCTACCTCTACGCTTCTATTTTTTTAACGTCAAGTTCATTCATTAGAGAGAAAACAACGTACCCACTAGACCCTAAAGTTTTTTGCCAAATAATGTATCTAAATTGTTTAATCTATCTTTTTTATTATTCTGTATTGTGAAAAAGCTAGATATTTTGGAATTTTTATTGAGAAACTACTCAAAGACAGTGAGAAAATGAGAGAACATTCGCCTCCTAAGTGGGTACACAATTTTGAAGATAATGAAGAATGAAGAAGAGCAATTCCAATTTCCAGACCAAGTTCATGACATGTACTAGATAAATATAAGTTATTGAAAATGGAGTTTTCTCAATTCAAAAAAGTTTTCCATTAAATTTTTACATTTAGTAAAATGCGAGATAAGACGGAAGAGTATGCTAACAGCAGAGGTAGTGAATTCAATGATGTTGTTAAGATAAAGAAAGAGATTATAGATGGTAGATATAAAAATATCTATAATGGGAGGAAAAATCGATTGGTTGATAATATTATGATTTGTATGAGGTAAAAATATACAACAGTGAAAAGATGTTTCACATTTTTAAATATTTTATTATTAAAATTTAGTTTTCAATGGAATGTTAGAAAAGAAGGAAGAGACTATTGGTGATGAATATAAAGTTTTATTAATGAAGATGAAATTATGTGGAGAAAATGTTTTTGATAGCGGCGTAATAAAAAATAAATCCAATAGAAATTCAGTAGTAATCTCTAACAACAAAGAGTAAATTGTGTTTTAAATATTAAGTTTTTAGAAATCGATTACATGTTTACTTTTTTATAAAACCTTATTTTCCATACATGATCAATATGTTGTAAGACTTATAATGTATATTTTTTATAAATATATTTGATAATAGAATAATTTGAATTCTCTCATTGTATCAAATAAATTATTCGGGTACTTATTATTATCCTCATAATATTGATTTAATTCATCGTCGGTCCCAGCTCTACCAATAGTATAAACAAGTTTCACAACCTTCCTCCACGCCCAGTTTTCGAGAAAAAAATCCAGACAACGTGAAAACGGGTCGACCCGCCACCAACCACTGTGACGGTAGGGGTGCGGTTAACTGCAACCGCAAAACACCCATATTAACCAACCGCGACCGCGTCCGTCACGGTTAGCGGTTAACCAAAAACCGCAAAACGCGGTTAACGGTGAACCGCGGTTACTGGTGGTAAAAATCGCAGCAACCGCATCAGTCTACCAAACCGCGGTTAAGCTACTCACAGTAGAGGGGCAGCAGAGTAGATGTGGAGATTGGAAGAGGAGCTCGACGACCGACGTGTAGGGTGTGGAGAGGAGAGCGTCGACGACGAGAGCAGATCGAGGCGTCGAGCGAATAGAGTAGCAGTCGAGGCGTCGAGCGAACAGATGAGCAGTCGAGTTCGCCGGCGCGCCGCCTTGAGGAAGCCGGAGACGGCGGACGGCGGGCGGATGGCAGTGGGGTGATTTTTGCTGGCCTGCTGCTCTCAGTTGGGCTTGGGGCCAAGTCAAAACGGCAAAAGGGAGAAGTGGGGAAAGGGGCCGAGTCGGGTTGGGCTTGGGTGGGCTTTGTAACTTTGGGGCTTGGGTTGGATTGGAAATTGATTGGGCCATCTATTCGCGGTTAGCCTTGCGGTTAGATTTATTTGCGGTTTCGGTTGCGGTTAAACCGCAAATCGCAAAACAACCCATATCTTCAACCGCGACCGCAAAATAGGTAAATTATGCGGTTTGCGGTTAACCAATAATCGCGCGGTTTCGGTGTGGTTATCGATTTAACCGCAAAACCGCAATCGTTTTCCCAGCCCTATCTGACGGTGTTATGTCACTCCGTCGCTTGACCTTTTCATCGTTAACAACGAAACCGCAAAAGAAAATGAAGCTCCCAATTTCCTCCAAAACCTGAAGTTTCGATTTCTCCAAAGATCTTCTCAGCTTCTCCGCTCTCTCTATCGCTTTCTACAGAACAGCAACATCAGACCGTCCGCCGCCCTCTTCCTTCGTTCTCTTCGATTCAAGGGTTATCTGAAATCTCGCCGTCTGGGTATTGCAGAATTCGCAGCGTTAGTTGCATATCCTCATCTCCATCTGGGGTTTCGAAGATGGATTCTTCAGCCACAATCGGCACTTGCAACGTTTTCTCAGTCCGCCTCTCGCCAGTAAGCAATCGAACTTCTACAACCAGAATCAGTTTCGGTCATGGGTTCCGATCGCACCGTTGTGGGTTCGCCCCAAAAATGACGGTCGCCGTCCCCAATGGCTCTGTTTCTTCCTCCGGTTCCCAGGGCGTAAGTTCCCCGTTGCTACGCGTTTCCCATTTCTAATCGAAGTTCAGATTTTACGAGAATCTCAAATTTGAAATTTTGGGGTTTCCCCAGGAAGATTCGAGGTTAGTGAAGAATGCTCACAAGCGCAGAAGCAGTTTGGAGTCTCTATTCTGCTACGACAAGCCCATACCAGAGGAGAGAATAGAGACGCCCGTCGGCGTGGCTTTAGCGGAGAAGGCAATCGGAGAGAATCTCAGATGTGCTGATTGTGAAGCCAAAGGTGCCGTCCTGTGTAGCACCTGCTCGGGCTCCGGCTTATATGTGGACTCCATTATGGAGAGCCAAGGGATCATAGTTAAAGTCCGCTGCCTTGGTAACTTATCATTCATTCCTCATTTCCTCTCTTTTCCTGTCCTTCGTTAGTTGGTAGTTTAAAGGGGTTCGTATAAGAAAACAGCCTTTTTTCGTTTACGGATCTTGAAAGTACTGGGAAGAGGCTATAGATTCTAGGGTCTGCAGGTGGGTGAATTACAATCTACTTGCTGTAGTTTTGTGGTTGCTTCAATGTTTATGGAAGCACGAATTTGAGCCATCAAGCTATAGATGGTGAAGATTCATTATCCCCAACTAGCATTCCACTTACAGTCATAATGATTTTGGGGACAAGTTCATCTGCCAGGTTGAGAATGTAGAAACTTTTTGCATTTTGTTTCTTGAATGACAAAGTAGAACATTTGTTAGATGGGTTGGACTAGTGAATTGGGAAGTTGATGGTGGTGAAAACATTAATTGATTCTTTTGTGTTGTCGGTGGCTCTCGTTCACCTTATAGTTTCTAATTTGGTACTAGCAAGAGAGCATCTGTGGTTGATTAGGTACGTAGAAGTAGGAAGCTAGGTCAAAAATGTTCTGAGAGCATTTGCAGCTGGTGAATGGAGTTTAAATTTGCTGCTTAGTTCCATAGGTAGCTGCTGTCGCTGCAGAAGTTAGAATGCTTTTGAATTGAATGCACCATTCTCAATTTTCTTGGTGTTCTGGTTAGGTAACTATGTGCATTTACTCCAGGAAAGATGGATCTGTGTTATGTTCTTGCACATGCACGTCTCATCTTAGGTCATAAGGGGGATGTTGTATGCTAGCAAACTTTGTGCAAAAACCCGAATCGTTGCTCCAAGCCCTGTACTTGCACAGGTTCCTTCAAGTAATGTAGTTTTACATTTTGTTGTTTTGATCAGGTTGTGGTGGAACAGGCAACATCATGTGCTCGGAGTGTGGCGGGCGAGGTCACCTTGGATGCAAATGATCTTAGGTGGTTTGTTGTGCTTGCTTTTTGTGTTTGTAAACAAAGAATTTCGCTGTATTGTGACCTTCATTGTATCAAATGGTTTTGAGTTTCTTCCACCAACAACAAATAAAAGAAAAGTAGTTCGAGTTTCAATTCGATTTGTAGTTATCATTGTTAAAAATCTCAAATTGTTTCATGAGATTATGAGAATATAAAGTTGCGAGAAAGTGAGAGTTTCAGTCAACATCCTTTTTTAGCTTCTTGACTTTCCGGGTTGTCCATCAAATTTCATCAGCAGATAAAGTCTATGGAAGTTATAGCTTGACAAATTAGGTCTTGCATTTACCAAGTCTGCTACGATAATGCGTGCAAAGGGGATGCACAGAAACCGTTCATTTCGAACCGGAAATATAACGAATCGGAAATATATCGACTTAAACTGTAGGTGATTTTACTGGTATGAAATAATTGAATCACGGTTTTAATACAAAATACAATATCACTAACTTTTTCGATATAACTTTCGATACGATTTTATAAACATTTGAAGGAAGAAACAAAAAGACAAATGGTTTTACATATTTAATCCCAGCAACTAACAAGCTTTAGTTTGATCCAAATACAAGCACATAATCTCTCTCCCTGAAAAATTAAAATTAGTTTCCAATCTCGACAGGCTGAAACCCGTTGTCAATCGACTCCTTCACCGCATCCAAAACCCGCTGCGTCTTCCTGCTGCGAGACGCCCAAGTCAGATCAGGCTTCCCGCCATGAACCTTAATCTCCCCAACCAAACGAGACAGCTCTCGGATCAAGCAAGCCTCCTGCGGAATATCCGTCGATACAACGTGCTGGCTCGAAGACGCGACGAAAGAGGCCTCCTTCTCCGCAATCGGAATCACATAATCGTTGACCTCCAACGTCGTCCCCTTTGTCCCGACGGCAGTGATGCTCGACTCCATCTTGGCCAAAAAAGAGCAATGGAAAGTCGCCGACTTTCCATCTTCCCACTGCAGAGAAGCTCCACAAGCTAAGATCACTCCGGCCTCGCTGATAACAGCTCCCGGCGTCGCGATCACGGTCTTTGGCAGCTCATAGTCGGCTGCCCAGAGTATGGAATATGCGCAGTACCAGCCCACATCGCCGAGCGCGCCAAGAGAATCGAGATCGGGATTCAGACGTATGTTGTCCTTGTGCAACCACTCGTCGGCGGGAAAACTAAGGCAGCTGTGTACCTGGAGGGAAGGAAAAAAAAAAAAAAATTGAAAACAGAGCAAAGCAACTACTCTCTCAGGGGAATTTCGTCGAACAGTTTGTAAGTCTAAGAAAAGCCGGCCTCACTCACTGTTCTGAGTTCCCCGAACCCGTCTTCGGACGTGAGGAATTCCTTCATCTTGGCGGTGCGGGGATGGTGGAGCCACATGGTTCCGTCCATGAACTGGACGCCGTTGGCGTCGCAGGCGGCGAGAATCTGGTCCAATTCGGGGACGGAGACGGCGACGGGCTTCTCGAGGAGGACGTGCTTCTTCTTCTCCGCGGCCAAGGAGGCCCATTTGAGGTGGAGGGTTGTGGGTAATGGGATGTAGACGGCGTCGATTTCTGGGTCGTCGAGGAGAGCCTCGTAGGATCCGTAAACCTTGGCGTCGGGAGGGAAGTTGTTGGCTGCGGCGAATGCGGTGGCCTTTTCCAGAGTTCGGCTGGCGACGGCGGAGAGCTCGGCGTTGGGTGCCAGACTGATTGCGCGGGAGACCTTCTTGGCTATGTCGGCGCAGCCCATTATGCCGAAACGGATTTTGGGTTCCGACGACATGATTGATTGATGGAGCTCTGGAGGTTTGGTGTTGAAGGAGACAGGGGACGGGGGGAAATATATATATTGAAGTCGGAGAGTAGCTTGGCAAGAGTTAATTTTGATTTCGCTTTCTGCGCAGGAAAAAAACTGTAATGGAGAAAATATAATATGGATGTGGTCCCGTCTGTGGATTCCGTTTTCGTTAGGGCCGGCAACATTAGTCTCTGTTTTCAGAACCGCATATGAGGCTAAACCGAAAAAGTTAGTGGTTTAAGGTTCAGTGGTTAATCGTTACAAAATCGTCGGTTAACCGTTGTAGAACTTTTCACGATATATAACATGCAAGACTTGTGTATTACACTAATTTAAGAATATATTTATCATTTACCATAAACTATTTCAATTTCATATCATCACCCAAACATCTAATAAATCATTCAAACCGTCTCCCAAAAGAAATCATAATCTTTTTCAATTCTAATTAAAAATTACGATGTCAATCAGTAGTGGACCACAGAAAGTAGACAACAAAGTTAGAAAATGAGAAGATGAAGTAGTTATAAAAATTAATAATGACGGTTTGACTGTCTTAGTTTATGTTAAAGTATTTTCTAAAAAATATTGTCGTTAAAATAGTGAACCAGTGGACCAGTTAAACCGTGGTGATTCATCTGGTTTTATGTTGAACCGTGAAAAACCCTTTAATCCACCAATAATCATCCAAGTAATGAATCGAACTGCTATCGTAACTGGTTTGACGATTTCACTAGTACAACCGTTGATCCGGTTCGATTTTTATAACAATCACCAATCAAATACTACCATTCCAATAAGTGAGACAAAAATACAAAAGATAACACCTGTAATCAACAGAGAGAGAGAGAAAGAGTTTTAGACTCCAATTTATGGGTAGCGCCAACAGTGGAGACTATACTAAATTGTAAACTTAGATCTAGAGTTGCTGTCCCTCTTTTGTTGCGACTAAACTAACACAACCATATGCATGGTTTAATAGTAGTATAGGAGCAATCAAAGTTGTATCTCACGTTAGGGGCGGCTCTATGGGATGAGATCAGATGTTATGGTTCACTTAGTCACATGAATCAATCAAATCCAGCTATTCATTTTAAATTTTGATCCAATAATTTTAATTATTTTCATTTAGTGAAGTGTAAGATACCAATAATATTATTTATTAATTAAGATAATAATAAAGAAATGTGGGCTCCACCCGACATGCAGCCCTTCCTACGATGCTTTTCTGGTACTCTGCGGAGCCACCTTATAACTAGGAGGGGCTATAGCCCCCCTCTCAACTCTCAAAATTGTGTAAATTTCGTAACAAACTGAGAAAATAGAGTAGGTTGTAAGCCTTTAGTGCTCTCTCCTTTTGTAATTTCTTGAACGGATATTTTTAGCCCCCTCGTTTAGATTTCTGGCTCCGCCACTACTCTCCCATGATGCTTTTCTGGGAATTTTCTAGAGAGAGAGAGAGTCGACAACGAGATTAAGATTTATTGTTGGCGGGTAGAGAGAGAAAGCAGTGTGTTTGTAATGAAAGACTTGTCAATTTGTATTGTTAGTATTCTTTATATATAATATTAGTCCGATTTGTATAGTTTTATAATGCGGTTTGTATATTTTAATAGCTAGTAGTGTTAGTATATTTCGTGTCATTGGTTTGTTTAGTAAGCATTTGTATTGGTATTATGTTTTGTATACAATGTTATCTAATTTGAATGCTTTTATTATGAGATTTGTATACTTTTATGATTTTGCTTGTATACTTTGTGTTTTTGAAGCATTTGTACCTTGTATTGGTATTATGTTTTGTATACAATGTCATCTAATATCTATGCTTTAATTATGAGATTTTTATACACTTATGATTTTGCTTGTATACTTTGTATTACTTATTTGTATAGTTAGTAGTGTTAGTATTCTTTTTTGTCATTTGGTTTCTAACTTTGTATACTTTGAAGATCGAGAAGCCATCGGTACTACTTTTGTGGCAGGTGTCGCCGCCCAAGCTTTTTATATCGCCACTAGCATGATGCCTCCTCTAACAAAAATTCCTCCAGAAGTACTTCCTTTCGCCTTCGCACCATACACCTCCCTTCCAACTTGGCAGTTCCTCTTCCTTATGACATGCAAAGCTGAAAACCACTCGCAAAGAATCATGCTCAAATACCTTCACTGATGTCACTAACTTCACCCTCATTCCCGCCATGCATAGTCCAACCAGATTCTCTTTCATCATATCCTTGCATATATTTTCCAGCTTCAGGAACTCTGACACATACTCGGAAAGTGTCTTAGTCCATCACTGCATGGCTAGCTCTCCCCGTGCCATCACTCAACTCTATCGAACTGGAAATTCAGCTCTTCCTTGAATCTCATTCAAGTGATGAGCATCCCTTCTTCTTATTCTTCATATGATCTCTCCACCCATTCTCATCACTAAAACAGATTATCCTCCAAATAGAACGATGTCACATGTGCCTTCCTCTCCTCCATGTTGCATGGTTATGGAACTACCTGTGTGCAACATACAACCACAATCATGCATCCTTTTGACCACAACCACAATCATTCATCCTTTTGACCATCTCAACCGCCTGAATAGTTGGAGGGTTGACCCTAAACATTATATCATCATCAGCATCATAAATTGGGTTATAACCGTCATACCTGTCGATGCCATTACCGTCGGGGCGTCTATTTCCATTGTATCCTTGCCCACGATCTTGTCTGGCTGCTAGTATATGAAATCTCATGCATTTTCCTCCTCAAATTGGTAGCCTCCTTCACCTCCCAGTCCAGTTCGTGACCCCAGTCCCACCTTCAAAACTTGTCGGCCAACGACGTCACTATGGGAGGATACACTAAGGCCCTGTTTACTTTCATTTCTGTTTCCTGTTTTTGAGAAAACAGATGTTGAAAACAGGTGAAAACAACATTTCGTCGTTTCCGAAAACAGCAGGAAGTTGCCACTTTCTGTTTTCATAGTTGGAAACGAATAGAAAACAGAATGAAAAGTAAACAAGTTTTCTCGTTTTGGTTGCCAAATTTATGACATGAAAACAGAAAACAGGAAACGAAAATGGAAGTGAACAGGGCCTAAGTTATCCTAACTTGAAGGTTTTACAAGTCACCGTAACATATCCCAATTAGAGATCACTCAAATTGTATGTTTTTAGTTGGTTTTAGGATAAATTACAAGGTTGGTCACTGGGATTACTAAACCAGTTCACATTTGGTCACTGAAAATACTTAATTCTATTCATGGTCACTAGGGTTAGTTAAACATTCCAAGTTTGGTCACTCTCTGTTAGTCTCCTCAGCCCCCACAAACACCATCATATTTTTGCTGATGTGGCTAACATAAATGCTAATTCACCTCAATTTCAACCCTTCACGTCATAAAAG